TTCGTGTATCTGCGGATTCGTCGGCAGCCATTTTCTCGTTAAAAATTTTCGAAAATCGCCTATGAGCGATTTTATTTTAAGTCGTCCAGGAGAAAAAGGTCCTGTATCAAAAGTTTTCGGAAAACAAATATATATGCTTGGCAAATTCTTCACCAAGACAAAACACATAACCGTTTCTCTGTCACATTTTTGTTCTTTAGTTTATAACTTCAAAAGGACCAACGACAGACTTTAGATTTGGGTAATCGGGTGCTTCGCTAGGCTCAGATTCTGTTCGCACACCAATCAAACTATAGTACAAGAGCCAAATTATCATATATTTTTGTTTCCATTATATTTTTAGTTATGTGCTTATCTCTTTTGACAATTAATTACCTGGTTTTATTTAGTGATATGGTATATAAATTATATTTAAAAATCTTCAACAAATTCTTTAAAAAAAAGTACAAAATCGTTATTGCAAGTTAAAGTGAATGTAGCGAAAAATATCTATGAATACGAGAGAAAATTTAATGAATATAAATATCAACAATAACTTTCTTAGAAATGTCTTTTTTTTTTGTATGTGTGAAGAGCCTTTTGTAAGATCAAGGCATCCAATAAAAATCAGATAGAATGTATGCCTTTGACATATACATTCGTATGTTTGAAAAGACGAAATGTTTCAAGTTGTATCTCGAGGTGCAAAACTTGGTCGTGGTCACCTTTTATGCATAAAAAAATTATTATTTCGTGCGTGGTTAAATCGTGGTAGGTCTATAAACGTGCTAAAAACTAACCATCTTATGGCGGCATTAAGTTTGGGAAACACCGTACTTTCCCACAGTGTATGCGAGCTTTTTCTTCTTTCTTCAGATAAGATAAAAGGGTTCAACGAGCCCAGCCTTTCAGTAGGCCTAGTGGGCGTGAAGGAACGGCATTTGGAAAGGCAAGGCCCCTCGGCATATCAGTAATAATTTGTTTGGCCCTAAGTCCCCCATATCCCGCACGAGGCTTTTCGAGGGTAATTTTTATAAGCTTTTGATGTTCATTAAACAATTTATCGGAACGTTTATTATTTTTTTCTCGCGATTTGATTTTTCTTTTTGGGTAAACAAATTGGACGTGTATAATAGGCCGTAATATATTATACGTAACAGACTTCATTGTTTTCCCCAAT